CCTCCAGTTAGTTTTGTACGACAAAATATATTTCGTCTCGATTTACCTACAAATCTTCTACTATATATCTCAAACACCTCTTAATCTTGTATCGGTGGAACAACAAGAAGAAGATAAATCTCGAATAGGAACTAAGAGAGAGAAGATGGCGTGGGACGTGTTTCACGAGTTGTGGAATTCTCTTCTTTTCCCATTAGCTTAATAATGTATATATAGAGCTACAGTAGGGACCCTCAAGAGATTAGGGGAAGGGCTCCTTATTAATTAAAATACTTGTAGACCAAGCCACTTATTTTAACTAATTTAATAATATTAAATAGGCCATCAACATAATATTATTGCACTCACTTTTTCTAGCCTAATTTACAATTGAGACTATAATAATAATTACTCGATTTATCTCCCCATGTTTAAGATATAATGTCCATTAATTAATTCGATTACTAACAATCAAGAATTAATTAATTTATTATTATTTCACCGAAGCTAGCGCTCGTTCGTCACATTATTACAATGCCCGAGTTTAATCCACCTGCAGGGTTTAGCATAATAATCCTTCATGAACTCACTCCGGGGACATCATCAAACTAACGCACATGGTGACCGTAAATATCCTAACAGCACATCCTACAAGCAGCAATATTACCCAAGACAGCGGGTCTATTGGCCTAGTTTACTAAGCCTCACCCATGTGAATCAAAGTAATAAGTACTACACATATATGCCTGCTTAATATCTTACGGGTTAAGAGTACGCAGTAATTAACCGAGCGCTAGTTCGTTTATGTCGATCAGTACAAAACGAATTGCTCCTCACAGAGATCCTGTTCAATACATAAATGTACTAGTACAACTAATCAGTCAAGACAAACAGTACGGTTGACACTACATCCGTTAATGATGGGGTGTTCATGTCCATCTGGGTTGTGATCCACTTATTCTTGTTTCGCGAGTAACTGATAGTATGATCTTCGGTTCGCCCGATGACGACCCACACTATCTAATGCAAAACAACATAACGTAGAACTTATTTAATTTAACATGTTTCTCATTCATAAAGGGTAAAAGTGTAATATCATCCAAAGCCAAGCTATCAGTAAATAATCCTAACAATCTCCCACTTATACTTAATGCTTTCGCTTTTACAAGTATAGTCCTATCAATCCGTTATTCTAATAGACCTATGTCGATCCTATCGCCATGCACTTGACTCCCATTCCTGTCACGTGTTTGACGAAGACCTTCTCCGGCAAACTCTTCGTAAAAGGATTAGCTAGGTTGTCCTCAGATGCAATCTTGTAAACATCAACGTCTCCTCTACCAGCTATTTCTCGAATCAGATGGTACTTGCGCTCTATGTGTTTGCTTGCTCTGTAGGCTTGTGGTTCCCTTGAGTTTGCTACTGCTCCACTGTTATCACAGTACACGGTGATACCACGTTGCAAACTCGGATCATTTCTAAATCCACTAAGAAGTTTCTGAGCCAAACTGCCTCTGAGGCTGCTATGTACTCGACTTCTATGGTGGAATCTGCCACGCATTTCTGCTTAGCACTCCTCCATAAAATGGCTCCACCTCCCAAGGTAAACACATAACCAGAGGTTGACTTACTCTAGTCCATATCTGATTAGAAATCAGAATCACTGTAACCCAGAGGTAACAAGCTGTCTGTACGGTAAACTAACATGTACTCCTTAGTCTTTCTCAAGTACTTGAGTATATGCTTCACCGCAGACCAATGTTCCCTACCCGGATTACTTTGATATCTAGCTACTAAGCCAACGGCGTAGTTGATATCTGGCCTGGTACAAAGCATAACATACATAAGACTTTCTACTGCCGATGCATAAAGAACTGTCTTCATGTCCTCAATCTCTTGAGACGTCTTTGGAGACATCTCATTAGAGAGAGGGATTCCTTTCCTGAAAGGCAAGGTACCTTTCTTGGAATCCTGCATGCTGAACCTAGCAAAGACAGTATCTATGTATGAAGACTGGGCTAAGCAAAACAATCTCTTCTTACAGTCTCGAACGACCCTAATACCAAGAATATGTCCCGCTTCTCCTAAGTCCTCCATATCAAACTGCTTAGACAACCACACCTTTACGTCTGACAACTCCTTCTTACTGTTTCCAATAAGAAGTATGTCATCCACATACAGCACAAGAAACACCACCACACTCCCATTGATTTTCTTGTACACGCAATGCTCATCTGGACATTGAGTGAACCCGTACGACTTGATCACCTCATCGAACCGAATGTTCCAAGACCTCGAAGATTTCTTAAGTCCATAAATGGACGATTTAAGCTTACATACTAATGCTCACGACCTTCAACAATGAATCCCTCTGGTTGCTGCATATAGATGTTTTTCTAAAGGTTTCCATTAAGGAAAGCCGTCTTGGCATCCATCTGCCAGACCTCATAATCCATATGAGCAGCTACAGCTAAGAGAATCCAGATGGACTTAAGCATAGCTACTGGCGAAAAGGTCTCATCATAATCTATACCCTGAATCTGGGTATAACCTTTCGCAACAAGCCTAGCTTTGAGGGTTTTCACCTCCCCATCTGATCCTCTCTTTCTCTTGTGGATCCACTTGCATCCAATGGGTCGTACCCCATCGGGTGGTTCTACAAAATCCCAGACCTGATTAGAGTCCATGGACCATATTTCAGCATTCATTGCAACTATCCATGAATCTGCATCTTTATCTTGGAGTGCCTCGTTGTAGGTTCTTGGGTCCGATTCTAGGTTTCCTGGAACTGAGCCCTTAGACTCTCTAAGACCTATCCATCGGTCGGGTAAATGAGAAACCCTCCAACTACGACGAGGTATTGTCTGCACTGGTACACTCTCAGTGTTACGTATTGCAGTATTATGTGATGAATCTACTTGTGCACTCGGTGGGGAACTGTCAACTTCACCCCTCAACTCCTCTAAGACTAGTCTACTAGCGGGCTTGTGATTCATAATATAGTATTCTTCCAAGAATCTAGCCTTCGTGCTAATGATCACCTTCTGATCCCGGGGACTATAAAATAATCCACCATTCGTTCCTTTGGGATAGCCAACAAACACTTGCTCTTCCAAACGTTTCTCCAACTTGCCAGCTTCCTGCACTAACACGTGTGCATGACTACCCCATATTCGAAACTGCTAGAAACTAGGCTTGTGCCCTTTCCATATCTCATAAGGAGTAGTTTCTACCAAATCTGAAGGAACCATGTTCAGAATATACACAGCTGTTTCCAGTGCCAATCCCCTGAACGAATCTGGTAATCTAGAATAACTCATCATTGACCTAACCATTTCCATAAGAGTAATATTTCTTCGCTCTGCAACCCCGTTCTGCTGGGACATGCCGGGTGCAGTCAATTGGGATTCAATCCCAACTTCGGATAAGTATGTCCTGAACTATCCAAAGAGGTAATCGCCACCTCGATCAGATCGAAGTGACTTGATACTTTTACTTTGAAGATTCTCCACAACTGCCCGATACTCCTTGAATTTCTCAAAGCACTTGCGGTGCAACAGATAGATGTACTCATATCTCGAGTAATCATCAGTAAATGTGACCAAGTACTCAAAACCTCCTCTAGCCTGGATCGACATAGGACCACACAAATCAGAATGAATCAATCCTAGCATTTCTTGGCTCCTATACCCCTTTGCCGTAAATGGCCTCTTAGCCATCTTAACTTCTAAGCATGATTCACAAGTTGGATAGTGTTCTTCCAATGAACCGAGAAGTCCATTGACCACTAACTTTTAAATCCTCCTAAGGTTGATGTGCCCAAGTCTAAGGTGCCAAATATATGCTTGATTCATACTCGAAGATTCCTTCCTCTTATCAGATTTAGTCACGACCTTATTCAATTCAGTTTGTTGCAGTGTGGGAGAGTTTGGTTTAAGTACATACAAATTGCCAACTAATGAACCAGAACAAATGAAACGCTTTCCATAACAAATAACAACCAAGTCAACAAACGTAAAGGAAAATCCATATGAAACAAGTTTAGAAACTGAAACAAGATTCTTTCTAAAACTCGAAACATAAAGGCAATGTCTCAAAACCAAAATACTACTATCAAAAGATAAAGTAACGTCTCTCACTGCAATAGCCGCCACTTCCATAGCATCGCCCATGTAGACGGTGATCTCTCCCTCCCTAAGTCGCCTGGTTTCCTGGAACCCCTGCAATGAATTGCAGACATGATCAGTGGCTCTAGTATCTACACACTAGGTTCTGGTAGATACAGCTGCTAAATAAGTTTCTACGACATTAACGAGAGAGTTACCTTTCTTGAGGAGAGGGCAGTCGACCTTCCAGTGTCCTGACTTGTTGCCCTTGTGGCATATACCTTTTGGCTTCTTTTCCAAGCCTGAGGGGGCGGTCGCTGGACCACTGGAGCATCTTGCACCTTTGCCTTTCCTGCAGACTTCTTTCTCTTCCGACCCTTGTGAGGCCTAGAAGGTCCAGCCTGTTCAACAACCAGTGCATGAGGCGCCTGAGTGAATAAGGCCTCCGCCGACTGAAGCTCTGCTAACAGCTCTAGAAGATCCATATGAATTATGTAACACCCCGCTATTTCATGAATTTCAGAGTGTGCTTTTCGCAAATTTTCTAAATAAAATAAATAAAATATTTCTTTTTGCGAAATCTGATTCAGGGTGTTACAATTGGTATCAGAGCACGTTTCTGCGTCTCTGAAAGTTTTATAAGTCAGAAAGTTTGCAAAAACCTGAATCGTCACGCTCACGTCTCGCCGACTACAGGTAAGTGCTGATTTATGTTTTAAGTTATAAACAAATTACTTTGTCTATGCTCAGAAATTTATTAGTCATGACTTAGTTAAGATGCTCGAATCAGGTTCAGAACTTATAGATCAGTGTACTCAGATATAACTTTAGATTTCCACAGGATTCATGTCAGTATTTTCCAGCTATATTTGGCAACTCGTCAAGAGATTTGTGTGCTTTAGTAATTAGTTAAAGTATTTTTCATGTGTTCAATGATATTGAACTTCCTCAATGTTCAGATGCCACCCCGTAGGGAACCCGATCTCCCGGTTCTTCCCCAGGCCACTATAGTCGCACAGTTTCGCGACTATCATCCTGAGAAATTTTCCGGTCAGGGAGATACCCGTATCGTGGACGAGTGGATTCAGGGCCTTGAGTTGATCTTCGAGGTCATGGACTGTCTAGATCGATATCGCGTTATATGCGCACAACTTCAGCTAACCGACGATGCCCGACTCTGGTGGAATGCCCACTGGAGCATGCGTCCCGGAGAGAAAGCAGGTTGTACTTGGGAGAGGCTCAAGGAGCTAATCCGCGAAAAGTATTACCCCATGTATTACCGAGCAGAGATGGAGCGTCAGTTCCTGTCGCTCAAGCAGGGTACTCGTTCAGTGGATGAGTATGAGAGGGAGTTTACCAGACTTGCAGCTTTTGTTCCGGATTTGGTGCGTACGGAGGCACAGAGGGCACAACACTTCATCGACGGGCTTTACCCAGCAGTCTGTCACAACATTGTAGGTCACGGGACCCAGACCTATGCTCGTTCTGTTTCAATTGCTCAGGAGGTGGACGCCAGCATCCGGAGGGAGGCAAACCGCGATCGTTCTCAACCATCCGCCCCCGCCCAGTCATCCATAGCTCCACCAGCTGGCTAACCGTCGAAGGAGAAGAAGAGGAAGGGAAAGGGTGCTCAGACCGACAGGAGGACCCGACAGAGACAGCATCAGATTCCACAGTGCCCCACTTGTGGACGACTTCATCGCGGAGAGTGTCATATGGGTTAGGATATTTGCTACTACTGTCACGAGCCCAGACATTTTGTTAGCCGCTGTCCGAAGAAACTTCAGCAGCAGCCACCACAGCCTCTTCAGCAACAGCAGCAGCACTGTCAGCAGGCTCAGAGGCCGCCCCAACAGCAGCAGCAAAGGGGCAGACAGCAAGCCCGAGTCTATGCAGTTGATCAGGCTGAGGCCGAGCAGCATCCAGGTACCATGTCAGGGATGCTCATACTTAATAATGTTCCAGTTTTTTCTTTATTCGATACTAGAGCGATGCACTATTTTATTTCACGACGATGTCTTGATGCTATCAAGGTTCATGTTATTACCGCTATCGATCCTGTCGAGGTTAGTTTAGCCTCGAGACGAAAGATAGTGACCACAGCTAAAGCTTCAGGTCTCAGCCTTTCAATCGGTGGTCGTATATTGTCTACCGACGCGTATGTTCTCGAGATGAGGGACTTTGACCTCATTCTCGGAATGGATTGGCTATCTTACTAACATGCAGACATTCGATGCCATGACCGGGAGATTACCCTTTATCTTTCGGGAGACGATTTGATCACATTCTTTGGCACCAAGAATCGTTCCTTACCTCATGTCGTTTCGATGGCGAAAGCCACCAAGATGCTGCGACGAGGCAACTGTCAGGGTTATCTCGTGAGCCTTGTCGATGACTCTCAGAAAGCACGATCACCTCACGACGTTCCCGTTGTTCGTGAGTTTGTGGACGTGTTCCCAGATGAACTTCCAGGAGGACCGCCTAACCGGCAGGTGGAGTTCTCTATCGATCTCATTCCAGGAGCCGGCCCAGTATCCAAAGCCTCGTATCGAATGGCGCCGAAGGAGTTGCAGGAGCTCAAGGCGCAGATCCAGGAGTTATTGCAACTCGGTTTCATTCGGCCGAGCGTGTCGCCTTGGGGAGCACCCGTTCTCTTTGTTAAGAAGAAGGATGGTTCCATGCGCATGTGTATCGACTACCGGGATCTTAACCAGTTGACGATCAAGAACAAGTATCCGCTTCCTAGGATCGACGATTTAGTTGATCAGTTGAGGGGAGCCTGTGTCTGCTCAAAGATTCATTTGCGATCAGGCTACCACCAGCTGAAAATCAAGGAATCAGATATTGCTAAGACCACTTTCCGGACTCGTTACGGCCATTAAGAGTTCGTCGTCATGCCATTCGGGCTCAGTAATGCTCCAGCGGTTTTCATGAACCTGATGAACCGTATTTTCCATCCCTACCTCGATCATTTCGTTATTGTTTTCATTGACGATATTCTTATCTTCTCAAAGAGCCAGAAGGAGCACGAGGAGCATCTGAGGGTTGTTCTCGAAACCCTCAGACGAGAAAAGTTATATGCAAAATTCTCCAAATGCGAGTTCTGGCTCCAGCGAGTATCCTTTCTTGGTCATGTCATTACTCAGGCAGGTTTCGAGGTAGATCCTTATAAGGTCTCAGCTGTTCAGAACTGGTCGACACCGAAGAGTCCGTCCAAGGTTCGCAGTTTTCTCGGTCTAGCTGGCTATTATCGCAGGTTCATCGAGGGCTTTTCCAAGATTGCCCTCCCATTATCCCGGCTAACGAGGAAGTCTGTGAAGTTCGAGTGGACTGATCGTGTGAGACGAGCTTTCAGGAGCTCAAAAAGAGATTAACTTCAGCACCGGTGTTGACTATTCCCGATCCTTCTCGGAGTTTCACCATTTTCAGTAATGCTTCGAAACAGGCCAGGTCGTTGCCTATGCTTCACGCCAGCTCAAGCCGCACGAACAGAACTATCCGATGCACGACTAGGAGTTAGTCGCAGTTGATCATGCTCTCAAGATCTGGCAACATTATCTTTACGGCGGTCGATGCGAGATTTTCACCGATCATAAGAGCTTGCAGTGCATTTTCACTCAGAAGGAGCTCAACATGAGATAGCGCCGTTGGCTAGAGCTCGTCAAGTATTACGATTGCTCGATTCAGTACCATCCAGGGAAGGCGAACGTCGTTGCTGACGCCCTAAGCCGCAAGGTGAGGGATGACTTGACGTACGTCTTTACTCAGCAGAGCCGTTTGATTCAGGAGTTTGCTCGGATGCAGATTCAAGTGGTCGATGCTCTTCCCACAACCATTTCGGGGAGTGTTAGTGCCATGCAGATTCAGGCGACGCTGAGAGAGAGAATCCGGCAGGAGCAGGCTTCTGACGTGTTCGTTCGTGTCATGGATGCCAAAGTCCGCGCCGGAAGTGTCGAGGGTTTTCAGTGAGGTACCGATGGTGCTTTGGAGTTCAGAGGCAGGATTGTGGTGCCGAAAGTCGAGGCGTTGCAGAAAGAGATATTGTCGGAGGCTCATACCGCACCATACCTAGCCCATCTCGGAAGCACGAAGATGTATCATGACCTGAAAGAGGTCGTTCTGGTGGTGAGGGATGAAGAAGGACGTTGTCGAGTTTGTCAGGAGATGTTTTACCTGTCAGCAAGTCAAGGCCGAACATAAGAGTCTGATAGGCCTCCTACAACCACTACCTATTCCGAAGTGGAAGTGGGAGGAAGTCACGATGGATTTCGTCATGGGGTTACTGAGGTCGTCTGAACATCACGATGCGATTTGGGTCGTGGTCGACAGATTGACTAAGGTCGCTCATTTCTTGCCAGTTTCAATGAAGATGTCTTTGGATAAGTTGGCTGAGATTTATACCCGTGGAATCATTCGACTCTACGGAGTGCCCGTTACTATCGTGTCAGACAGAGATCCCAGATTCGTCAGTAGATTCTGGCAGATTTTACATGAGGTGATGGGTACGAAGCTAGAGTTCAGTTCAGCTTATCATCCGGAGACTGATGGTCAGTCTGAGCGGACCATTCAGACATTAGAGGATATGTTGCGAGCTTTGGTTGTTGACAGAGGTGCTAAGTGGGAGTCGTTGTTGCCGTACGTTGAGTTCGCGTACAACTACAGCTATCATTCTTCTATTCAGATGGCTCCTTACGAGGCACTTTACGGTCGTAAGTGTCGTTCCTCTCTTTATTGGGACGACGTCGGCGAGCGTCGAGTACTCGGTCCGAAGATGATCGAGGAAACCGCAGATCAGGTTGAGTTGATCCAATAGAGACTCAAGACAGCCCAGAGTCGACAGAAATCCTCAGCCGATCATCATCGACGAGATATTCAGTTCGAGGTTGGCGAGCCAGCTTTTCTCAGGGTTCATCCAATTTGCAGAGTTGTTCAATTCGGGAAGAGAGTGAAGCTGCACCCTCGATTCATTGGCCCGTTCGAAGTTCTCGATCGAGTGGGCGAAGTCGTGTACCGATTAGCCTTACCTCCCGAGCTATCCGACCTTCATAACGTTTTTCACGCATCCATGTTGCGTAAGTACGTGTGAGATCCCGATCATGTCATTCCCCATACAGACATTCAGGTTCAGCCAGACTTATCGTACGAGGAGCGACCGGTAGTTGTACTGGACCGTCAGGTTCGTCGGCTCCGGAAGCGATATGTTCCCCTCGTTCGTATTCAGTGGGATCGCCACGAAGCTACTTGGGAATCAGAAGCTGACATTCGCGCTCGTTTTCCCGATTTTCAGTTCTGATGTACATATTTTCATGTTCATATATATAGTTCATGTATATTCAGTTTCATTTTGAATTTCCGAGGACGAAAATTTTTAAGGAGGGAGGATTGTAATATCCCGTCATGTCAGTAATATAAATCATGTATTTAGTTCCGAAATAATAATATTGTCGAGTATTATTTTCAGAATTAATTATTTTCAGTCGAGATTATCCGAAATTATTTTCGAAGTTGCGTTTACGTTCGGAATAATTTTGGAAATTAAGTATCATGTTAGTTAATTAATTAAGCATATAGATTATGCTTAATTAATAATTAATTGTGCTTAGAAATATAATTGTCGTGAGCACTTAAAGCAATTTTGCCTAAAATCTTTATGCGTCTCTGAAAGTTTTATAAGTCAGAAAGTTTGCAAAAACCTGAACCGTCACGCTCACGTCTCACCGACTACAGGTAAGTGTTGATTTATGTTTTAAGTTATAAACAAATTACTTTGTCTATGCTCAGAAATTTATTAGTCATGACTTAGTTAAGATGCTCGAATCAGGTTCAGAACTTATAGATCAGTGTACTCAGATATAACTCTAGATTTCCTCAGGATTCATGTCAGTATTTTCCAGCTATATTTGGCAACTCGTCAAGAGATTTGTGTGCTTTAGTAATCAGTTAAAGTATTTTTCATGTGTTCAATGATATTGAACTTCCTCAATGTTCAGATGCCGCCCCGTAGGGAACCCGATCACCCGGTTCTTCCCCAGGCCACTATAGTCGCACAGTTTTGCGACTATCATCCTGAGAAATTTTCCGGTCAGGGAGATCCCCGTATCGTGGACGAGTGGATTCAGGGCCTTGAGTTGATCTTCGAGGTCATGGACTGTCCAGATTGATATCGCATTATATGCGCACAGCTTCAGCTAACCGGCGATGCCCGACTCTGGTGGAATGCCTACTGGAGCATGCGTCCCGGAGAGAAAGCGGGTTGTACTTGGGAGAGGCTCAAGGAGCTAATCCGCGAAAAGTATTACCCCATGTATTACCGAGCAGAGATGGAGCGTCAGTTCCTGTCGCTCAAGCAGGGTACTCGTTCAGTGGATGAGTACGAGAGAGAGTTTACCAGACTTGCAGCTTTTGTTCCGGATTTGGTGCGTACGGAGGCACAGAGGGCACAGCACTTCATCGACGGGCTTTACCCAGCAGTCTGTCACAACATTGTAGGTCACGGGACCCAGACCTATGCTCGTGCTGTTTCAATTGCTCAGGAGGTGGACGCCAGCATCCGGAGGGAGGCAAACCGCGATCGTTCTCAACCATCCGCCCCCGCCCAGTCATCCATAGCTCCACCAGCTGGCCAACCGTCGAAGGAGAAGAAGAGGAAGGGAAAGGGCGCTCAGACCGACATGAGGACCCGACAGAGACAGCAGCAGATTCTACAGTGCCCCACTTGTGGACGACTTCATCGCGGAGAGTGTCATATGGGTTAGGATATTTGCTACTACTGTCACGAGCCCGGACATTTTGTTAGCCGTTGTCCGAAGAAACTTCAGCAGCAGCCACCACAGCCTCTTCAGCAACAGCAGCAGCACTGTCAGCAGGCTCAGAGGCCGCCCCAGCAGCAGCAGCAAAGGGGCAGACAGCAAGCCCGAGTCTATGCAGTTGATCAGGCTGAGGCCGAGCAACATCCAGGTACCATGTCAGGGATGCTTATACTTAATAATGTTCCAGTTTTTGCTTTATTCGATACTGGAGCGATGCACTCTTTTGTTTCACGAAGATGTCTTGATGCCATCGGAGTTCATGTTATTACCGCTGTCGATCCTCTCGAGGTGAGTTTAGCCTCGGGACGAAAGATAGTGACCACAACTAAAGCTTCAGGTCTCAGCCTTTCCATCGGTGGTCGTATATTGTCTACCGACGCGTATGTTCTCGAGATGAGGGACTTTGACCTCATTCTCGGAATGGATTGGCTATCTTACTATCATGCAGACATTCGACACCATGACCGGGAGATTACCCTTTATCTTCCGGGAGACGATTTGATCACATTCTTTGGCACCAAGAATCGTTCCTTACCTCATGTCATTTCGATGGCGAAAGCCACCAAGATGCTGCGACGAGGAAACTGTCAGAGTTATCTCGCGAGCCTTGTCGATGACTCTCAGAAAGCATGATCACCTCACGACGTTCCCGTTGTTCGTGAGTTTGTGGACGTGTTCCCAGACGAACTTCCAGGAGGACCGCCTAACCGGCAGGTGGAGTTCTCTATCGATCTCATTCCAGGAGGCGGCCCAGTATCCAAAGCCCCGTATCGAATGGCGCCGAAGGAGTTGCAGGAGCTTAAGGCGCAGATCCAAGAGTTATTGCGACTCGGTTTCATTCGGCCGAGCGTGTCGCCTTGGGGAGCACCCGTTCTCTTTGTTAAGAAGAAGGATGGTTCCATGCGCATGTGTATCGACTACCGGGATCTTAACCGGTTGACGATCAAGAACAAGTATCCGCTACCCAGGATCGACGATTTATTTGATCAGCTGAGGGGAGCCTGTGTCTTCTCAAAGATTGATTTGTGATCAGGCTACCACCAGCTGAAAATAAAGGAATCAGATATTGTTAAGACCGCTTTCCGGACTCGTTACGGCCATTAAGAGTTCGTCGTCATGCCATTCGGGCTCAGTAATGCTCCAGCGGTTTTCATGGACCTGATGAACCGTATTTTCCATCCTTACCTCGATCATTTCGTTATTGTTTTCATTGACGATATTCTTATCTACTCAAAGAGCCAGAAGGAGCACGAGGAGCATCTAAGGGTTGTTCTCGAAACCCTCAGACGAGAAAAGTTATATGCAAAATTCTCCAAATACGAGTTCTGGCTCCAGCGAGTATCCTTTCTTGGTCATGTCATTACTCAGGCAGATATCAAGGTAGATCCTTCTAAGGTCTCAGCTGTTCAGAACTGGTCGACACCGAAGAGTCCGTCCGAGGTTCGCAGTTTTCTCGGTCTAGCTGGCTATTATCGCAGGTTCATCGAGGGCTTTTCCAAGATTGCCCTCCCATTATCCCGGCTGACGAGGAAATCTGTGAAGTTCGACTGGACCGGTAGTTGTGAGACGAGCTTTCAGGAGCTCAAAAAGAGATTAACTTCAGCAACGGTGTTGACTATTCCCGATCCTTCTCGGAGTTTCACCATTTTCAGTGATGCTTTGAAACAGGGTTTGGGATGTGTACTCATGCAAGATGGCCAGGTCGTTGCCTATGCTTCACGCCAGCTCAAGCCGCACGAACAGAACTATCCGACGCACGACTTGGAGTTAGCCGCAGTTGATCATTCTCTCAAGATCTGGCGACATTATCTTTACGGCGGTCGATGCGAGATTTTCACCGATCATAAGAGCTTGCAGTACATTTTCTCTCAGAAAGAGCTCAACATGAGACAGCGCCGTTGGCTAGAACTCGTCAAGGATTACGATTGCTCGATTCAGTACCATCCGGGGAAGGCGAACGTCGTTGCTGACGCCCTAAGCCGCAAGGTGAGGGGTGACTTGACGTACGTCGTTACTCAGCAGAGCCGTTTGATTCAGGAGTTTGCCCGGATGCAGATTCAAGTGGTCGATGCACTTCCCACAGCCATTTCGGGGAGTGTTAGTGCCATGCAGATTCAGTCGACGCTGTGAGAGAGAATCCGGCGGGAGCAGGCTTCTGACGAGTTCGTTGGTGTCATGGATGCCAAAGTCCGCGCCGGAAGCGTCGAGGGTTTTTAGCGAGGTATCGATGGTGCTTTGGAGTTCAGAGGCAGGATTGTGGTGCCGAAAGTCGAGGCGTTGTGGAAAGAGATATTGTCGGAGGCTCATACCGCACCATACCTAGCCCATCCCGGAAGCATGAAGATGTATCATGACCTGAAAGGGGTCGTTCTGGTGGCGAGGGATGAAGAAGGACGTTGCCTAGTTTGTCAGGAGATGTTTTACCTGTCAGCAAGTCAAGGCCGAACATAAGAGTCCGATAGGCCTCCTACAACCACTACCTATTCCGAAGTGGAAGTGGGAGGAAGTCACGATGGATTTCGTCATGGGGTTACCGAGGTTGTCTGAACATCACGATGCAATTTGGGTCGTGGTCGACAGATTGACTAAGGTCGCTCATTTCTTGCCCGTTTCAATGAAGATGTCTTTGGATAAGTTGGCTGAGATTTATACCCGTGAAATCATTCGACTCCACGGAGTGCCCGTTACTATCGTGTCAGACAGAGATCCCAGATTCGTCAGTAGATTCTGGCAGAGTTTACATGAGGCGATGGGTACGAAGCTAGAGTTCAGTTCAGCCTATCATCCGGAGACTGATGGTCAGTCCGAGCGGACCATTCAGACATTAGAGGATATGTTGCGAGCTTTGGTTGTTGACAGGGGTGCTAAGTGGGAGTCATTGTTGTCGTACGTTGAGTTTGCGTACAACAACAGCTATCATTCTTCTATTCAGATGGCTCCTTACGAGGCACTTTACGGTCGTAAGTGTCGTTCCCCTCTTTATTGGGACGACGTCGGCGAGCGTCGAGTACTCGGTCCGAAGATGATCGAGGAAACCGCAGATCAGGTCGAGTTGATCCGGCAGAGACTCAAGACAGCCCAGAGTCGACAGAAATCCTCAGCCGATCATCATCGACGAGATATTCAGTTCGAGGTTGGCGAGCCAGCTTTTCTCAGGGTACGTCCAATTCGCGAAGTTGTTCGATTCGGGAAGAGAGGGAAGCTGCACCCTCGATTCATTGGCCCGTTCGAAGTTCTCGATCGAGTGGGCGAAGTCGTGTACCGATTAGCCTTACCTCCCGAGCTATCCGACCTTCATAACGTTTTTCACGCATCCATGTTGCGTAAGTACGTGTGAGATCCCGATCATGTCATTCCCCATACAGACATTCAGGTTCAGCCAGACTTATCGTACGAGGAGCGACCGGTAGCTGTACTGGACCGTCAGGTTCGTCGGCTCCGGAAGCGAGATGTTCCCCTCGTTCGTATTCAGTGGGATCGCCACGGAGCTACTTGGAAATCGGAAGCTGACATTCGCGCTCGTTTTCTCGATTTTCAGTTCTGATGTACATATTTTCATGTTCATATATATAGTTCATGTATATTCAGTTTCATTTTGAATTTTCGAGGACGGAAATTTTTAAGGAGGGAGGATTGTAATATCCCGTCATGTCAGTAATATAAATCATGTATTTAGTTCCGAAATAATAATATTGTCGAGTATTATTTTCGGAATTAATTATTTTCAGTCGAGATTATCTGAAATTATTTTCGAAGTCACGTTTACGTTCGGAATAATTTCGGAAATTATGTATCATGTTAGTTAATTAATTAAGCATATAGATTATGCTTAATTAATAATTAATTGTGCTTAAAAATATATTGCCCTGAGCACTTAAAGTAATTTTGCCCAAAATCTTACATAAAGCCGTGAGCCATGTAGAAAGCATTTGGGGAGAAATTGTCTTTAATTCTTAGCTTGAGGTGTCACTTAAGGAAATAATAAGTGATGACTAATCTAACTTATGGATGACTAAGCACCTCAAGGCTTTTCCTAATTACAAGTGGCATGAAATTATAAAGCCACCTTTAAGTTAAATTCTCCCCACCTCTTAAACTACACATATATAAGAAATGACTTAGGGAAAAATCAGCCATTTTCCCTTATGCATGTTAAGATAGAGAGTGAGTTTAAGAGAGCTTACCTTAGTGTGGGAGCACCGCACGCGAGAACCTAGCCGCAACCATCGGACGAGAGTACCGCACGCGCACTGGAGTTCAAGAAGGCTGCCAGCACTTGAGCAATATAGGAGGTAATCTCCTTGTTGATATGAGCTGATCGTAGCATGTTCATTATCAGATCAAACTTAGGTTCAAGTTCATGATTTAGCCATTTGTTGCTTGCGGCCGTGCGTATAGCCATGTCGAGCATGTTCATTTTAATTCAAATCTCTCGAGCAAACTTCATGAATTCAGTTATTTCATGCTATATTATGTTCAGTTAACCTCATGTTGCTCGAACAATTTTCATGATTTGTCGAGTAATCGGCCGAGGAGCGTGGTCGCGCATGTAGCGCGCACCACGGGCCGTACATGCGTAGCGATTATGTGAAGTAATAGTCCATCGAGCATTCATGTCAATTTATTCAGTAAATATTATATCTTGATCAGTTACATGTTAGTTGCCGAGAGAAATTTATGATCGATCGAGAAACGGCTTAACGCCGTAGGCGGCCCAAGGGCGCACGTCACGACCATGTTTAGTTTCTTGTGCAAAATTCATGATCTTGAGTAATGTCAGTGTATTTGATTATTTTAAGTCAGTTCGTGTTACTTGATGTTGAGTTGCTCGAGAGAAATAGCCGGACGGCCGGCAAAGGCCGGTCGTGGCCGCGCTGCTCGCACACAGCGGCAGCAGCGCGCCGGCAGTCAGCCA